CCTGTCTCAAAATAAAAAGGGCCAAGATATAGCTCAGTGGTAGAACACTTATTAGAGGCCGGGGTTTGATTCCCAGCACTGCTGCCAGGAGAAAACAAACTAAGAAATATAGAAAAGAGTTGTACACATGCCAACATCTTAAAAGGAATTTCAGTTAGAAAAATAAAAATTTTAAGAAGACAAAGGAAATGAAAAAAATAAAAGAGGAGGTAAAATTTTCAGAATGCAAAAAAGATGAAGGGCTTCATATTGGTGAAAGAGTTCATGGCATATCAGACAAGACAAGGAAAAATGCAAACTTAAGCATATTAAGAATATAACAGAGAAAACTCTGAAAGATTTTTGAAAGGACAGATAATGTATATTGGAATAATAAGGTAGGAATATATCAGAGTGTTTAACAGCAGTACTAAATGGAAGAAAACAGTAAAGTTAAGAACTACCCAGGGATGGGGCTGGGATTATGGTTCAGTGGTAGAGTGCTCGCTTAGCACATGCGAGGCCCTGGGTTCACTCCTCAGCACCCATTAAAAAAAAAGACAAATAGACACAGGAAGAGATGCTAAGCCTGCTTAATCATTAGGAAGTACAGATCAAAACCATGATAAAAATGCTACCTCACACACACTAAGATAATTATATTATGAAAGACAAACAATAGCCAGGCACGGTTGTATATACCTGAAATCCAGTGGCACAGGAGGATCCCAAGTTCAAAGTCTGTAAACAAAAAAATAAAATATAAATTTTAAAAAGGGCTGGGGATGTGACTCAGTGATTAAGCACCCCTGGATTTAATAGTTGGTAGCAAAAACCAAAACCACAATAACAAAAGTTATTAAAAAACAATATGTTGATAATGTGATGTGGAAAGATTGGAACCTTTATAAAATGGTAAAATGGTGTGGGCATGAGGAGATGGAAAGTGACTAATAATTAGGATACAGTTTTCTTTTTGAAGTCATGAAAATGTTCTAAAATTGGAAATGATTTCACATCATTTCACAATGATGTGATTATACAAAAAATATCAGTGTCCATATTAAATGAGTAAATTGTATGTGAATTATATTTGTTTTCTAAAGCCATAAAAAGCTTGAGTAATAGCTTTGAGTATAAAACTTGTAGGCAAAATCAACAATATGAAGTATAAGTGTCATATTGGATATCAAAGATGAAAGAAATGGGACATGAATAGTTTGTAGTATGCTTTGGGTAAAAACTTTTTTTAGTTTTAGGTGGACACAATATCTTTATTTTATATTTATGTGGTGCTGAGGATCGAATCTAGTGCTTCATGCATGCTAGGCGAGCGCTCTACCACTGAGCCACAATCCCAGCCCCCCAAAAAACAATTTTTAATAATACCTAATAGTACAGCTTTATAAACATTGTAGTCTTACCTCTCTGGGTATTATAAACCTACTCACTGCTTCTGTTTACACAAGGCAATCCTTTCATTTTCTCTTCTGCCACCAATATTCTTCTAAGCAGAATTTGATATTATATAAAATGAAATGTATAAAATTTGATTTTATACTTTCTATGCTCGTACATGCATCTTTCAGTCCATTGTTTCTTTAATCCATTCTCTTTGATGGCATCCTCCCTACTGTACCATTATATAGAATTTGGATTTTCTTTCCTTCTCCATTAATTTCCATTCCTCTTCCAAATTTCTATTCCTTCAGCGGGTCCTTATGTAGGGATTCTAAGGTAAATAATTTGTTGCATGGGCTCATTTAAGATTATGCTTCCTTAATGATTCTGTTTTATTGTGGAACAGAGGTCAACAAACTTTTCATATAAAGAGCTTAGATGTGAGCTGGAGTTGTGGAGTTGTGACTCTGAAGTAGAGCACGTGTCTCACATGAATTTGATCCTTAGCACTACATATAAATAAATAAATAAATTAATTAATTAATTAATTAATTAATAAAGGTATTGTGTCCATCTACAACCAAAAAAATTTATTTTAAAAAAAGAGCTAGATGTGATGATTATTTTTACTTTTGCCTGCCGTACTTTGCAGTAACCTTTCTATTTTGGGGTGAGAACAGCCATAGGTAACATATAAATGAATGGACATGGCCTGATATAACTGAGCAGGCCAAATCAAACCATAGTTTGCCAAGGTGTGTTTGAGAATTCTTAATTTATATACTCACTATAAAGACAAAATAAGATAAATTTAAGTGGAATACATTTAGGTATTTATATCTTCTACTTTCACCACTTAGGAAAGAGGTCCCATTTCTTCACTGTTTTATCTTTCTTCAGAATTATCTGAGGAACAGTGGTTAGAACCTCAGCACATCCCTTGAAAATTTACCAAACTTTATTAACAGAATACCAGACTTAACCACTAAAACTATGGTGTGAGAGTTGTTATTAAGATTAGATCAGTGACTATAAAAATAAATATAAATATTGTGCATAGATGCATACAAATTATGCATTATATTTTATATGTGCTTATAATTTTGTAATATATAGACTGTGGATTACATTTGGATATTCTTTGAAATGTTCCAAATTTATTGAATAGGAATGTAAAAGGACACATGAATTTAAATAAACTCAGAATAAATCAGTATATGGCTGTACAAAATTAGACTAAGAATCAGTCCAGGCGTGGTGGCACACACCTGTAATCCCAGCAACTGGGATGGTTGAAGCACGAGGATTACAAGCTTGATGCTAGCCTTAGCAATTTAGCAAGATCCTCAGCAATTTAGCCAGACGCCTGTCTCAAAATAAAAAAGGACTGGAGATGTCCTTTTTTAAGATGTCCTTTTTTATGGGGAATTGAATCCATGTGTTCAATTGAACACATGGATTCAATTCCCCATACCAGAAAAGGAAAAAAAAAGAAAGAAAGAAATCAAGATCAGTATAGCTAACATCTCCTGCCATCATATTCTAAATTGATATAAGTATTTTTCTTCAATCTGATGTTTGTTAAGCTTTTTGAGGATTTGATAATTGTTCATGGTTAAAAGAAATGTAGTGTTGAAGCAGTGACATTATTTTATATCATAGCAATTATGTTGTCAAATTGCTGAGACCATAAAATATATAAACTATATATATAATTACTTTACAACTAATGTGTCCAAATAATAAGAAAAATTTGCATTTGCTATATCAGTGTATTATAAATTACTTGATAATGCAGAATGATCATAACTTATTTAATGGATTCCTTAGAAAAAAATTCTACCTGGGGAGTAAAATATTCTCAGGAAAACAAAATGACATAATATATCTCAGATTTTTAAATTTTTTGTAGAAATTATTATATGTCATGAACAGATATTTGAATGATCCTGATCTTATTAAACAAACATATCTCATTTTTGGTCTAATTTTTTTTGTTTACAGGTCAAAAATTGAATATTTTATCTCTACTTTTAAATGAAACTGACCCAGTAATAAGTTAATTAAAGCATTATCTTTTCTACCTCAGATTAAAAAGATTATGTTGTATACCTCTCTCTCCTTCTAGCTCCATTCTGATAGTGGACATTCATTTATTCTTTCAATAAAAAGTTTTTAAAAATGTTCAACATCTATAGTAATTAGAGAACTGCAAATTGAAACTACCCTGAGATTCCATCTCTAGTCATAATGGCAGTTATCAAGAATACAAACAACAGGGGTTAGGGTTGTGGCTCAGCAATGGAGTGCTTGCCTATCACACAAGGTCCTGGGTTCAATCCTAAGCACCACATAATAGATAAATAAAATAAAGGTATTGTGTCCAACTACAACTAAAAAATATTTTTAAAAATTACAAACAACAATAAGTATTGGCGAGGATGTGGGGATAAAGGCACACTCATACATTGCTGGTGGGACTACAAATTGGTGCAACCAATCTGGAAAGCAGTATGGAGATTCCTTTGAAAACTTGAAATGGAACCACCATTTGACCCACTCCTCAATGTATACCCAAAGAACTACATCAACATTCTATAGTAATGCAGCCACATAAATATTTATAGCAGCTCAATTCACAATAGCTAAAGTGTGGAAGCAACCTAGATGCCCTTCAATAAATGAATGACTAAAGAAACCATGGTATACACAATGGAATATTACTCAGCATTAAAAGAGAATAAAATTATAGTGTTTGCAGGTAAATGGATGGAGTTGGAGAATATCATGCTTAATGAAATAAGCCAATCCCCAAAAAACAGGGCCTGAATGTTCTCTCTGATAAGTGGATGCTGACCTATAATGGGGGGGGGATGCGCATGGGAAAAATGGAGGAACTTTGATTGGGCAAAGGTGAGGGAGAATGGGAGTAGGAAAGATGGTGGAATGAGATAGACATCGTTACCCTAGGTACATGTATAACTGCATGTATGGTACAACTCTACATCGTGTATAACCAGAGAAATGAAAAGTTGTGCTGTGATTGTGTACAATGAATCAAAATGCATTCTGCTGTCATATATACCTAATTAGAATTAATTAATTAATTCAAAAAGAAACAGTTGAGTAAATATTGTATGTCAGGCCCTATTCTAGGCTCTAGGAATAAAATAGTGAACAAACAACCTCTGCCCTTATGGAGGTTACATCTAGTCAGGGAAAAGGCAATAAGCCATCTTCTACTGTTTAGTGAAATGGATTATGGGGTTGGAGCTCAGTGGTAGGAGGGCTTTGCCTAGCATGTGCAAGGCATTGGGTTTGATTCTCAGCACCACATATAATAAATAAAATAAAGATATCATTGACAACTAAAAATATATATATATATATATATATTTTAAAAAACAGATTATGCCATTTGTTAGAAGATAAGTACTGCAGATACATAGAACAGGATAAAGATGTATAATATTAATCTATGTAACATGAATATTGTCATCTTATTTTTTTTTTTCCCCAATTTATAGTTCCGATGACAGGATTCACACAGAGAGCAACTATTGATCCAGAACTGAATGAAATACATGTCTTATCTGGACTCAGCAAAGACAAGGAAAAAAGGGAAGAGAATGTCAGAAATTCATTCTGGATCTATGACATTGTGAGGAATAGTTGGTAAGCAACCCTTAACTGTGCTGTAGTCCCAATGTTATATTTATGTGAGGTTTATTCAAAAGATGAGAGAAATAAGAGGTTTGTGTTAATTTAAATATCCATATTTTTAAAAAATCGGTGTTTTTATAATGTCAGTATCATAGATAAAAATTTGTGTGTATACAGGAGTGTTGAGTGAATGGAATTCTGTGTTGTGCAGTTAGTAGATAGTTCCTTGTCAGGGAGTCAGGAGAATTACAGTTAGTCTGCTACAAAATAGATGTATGAACTTGAGAACAATGCTTTTTTTTTTTTTAGTTGACACATTATATGTAAATGGTGTATAATTTTTCATTCTTCTGGTTGTACATGATGTAGAATCACATTGGCCGTGTAGTCATATATATACATAGGGTAATAATGTCTAATTCATTTTACTGTTCTTCCTAGCCCCAGGCCCCCTCCCCTCCCTTCACTCCCCCTACCTAATCCATAGTAAACCTATTCTTTTACTAGCTCCCCCAACACCTTATTGTGAATTAGCATCCACATATCAGAGAAAACATTTAGCCTTTGGTTTGGGGGGGATTGGCATGATTGGTAAATGGATAACATGATATTCTTCAGCTCTATCCATTTACTGGCAAATGCCATAATTTCATTCTTCTTTAAGGCTGAGTAATATTACATTGTGTTTATATACCACATTTTCTTTATCCATTCATCTGTTGAAGGACTCCTAGGTTGGTTCCATAGTTTAGCTATTGTGAGTTAAGCTGCTACATCACTGTAGTATGCTGATTTTAAGTCTTTGGGGTATAAACCGAGGAGTTGGATAGCTGGGTCTGAGGAATCTCCATATCACTTTCCATAATAGTCACACCAATTTGCAGTCCCACCAACAATGTATGAGTGAACCTTTTCCCCCACATCCTTGCCAACATTATTGTTGTTTGTATTCTTGATGGTTGCCATTCTGACTGGAGTGAGATGAAATCTTAGAGTAGTTTTGATTTGCATTTCTCTAATTGCTGGAGATGTTGAACATTTTTTCACAAATGTGTTGTTTGATTGTATTTCTTCTTCTGTGAAGTATCTGTAAAGTTCCTTAGCCGATTTATTGATTGGGTTATTTGGGGGTTTTTTTGGCATTAACTTTTTTGAGTTCTTTATATATCCTAGAGATTTATGCTCTATCAGAGGTGTATGTGGTAAAGATTTTCTCCCATTCTGTAGGCTCTCTCTTCACGTTATTGTTTCCTTTGCTGAGAAGAAGCTTTTTAGTTTGAACCCATTCCATTTATTTTTTATTTTTTAAATATGTATTTTTTAGTTGTAGATGGACACAGTGCCTTTATTTTATTTATTTATTTTTATGTGGTGCTGAGGATCAAACTCAGTGCCTTATACATGCTAGGCAAGTGTTCTACCACTAAGCCACAACCTCAGCCCCCATCCCATTTATTGATTCTTGATTTTACTTCTTGTGCTTTAAGAGTCTTGTTAAGGAAGTCAAATCCTAGGCCGATGTGGTGAAGATTTGGGCCTACTTTTTTTTCTATTAGGCATAGGATCTCTATTCTAGTGCCTATTAGGTCTTTGATCTACTTTGAGTTTTGTGCAGGATGAGAGATAGGGGTTTAATTTTATTTTGTTACATCCATTTTGTGGATTTCCCAGTACCATTTGTTGAATATGCTATCTTTTTCCCAGTGAAAGTTTTTGGCGACTTTGTCTAATATGAGACAGCTATATTTATGTGGATTTGTCTCTGTGTCTTCTATATTGTACCATTGGTTTATATGTCTGTTTTGGTGCCAATATCATGCCATTTTTGTTACTATGGCTCTGAAATATAGTTTAAGGTCTGGTATTTTGATGCCTTCTGCTTTACTCTTCTTGCTAAGGATTGCTTTGGCTATTCTGGGTTTTTTATTTTTCCAAATGATTTTCATGATTGCTTTTTCTTTCTTTCTTTTTTCTTTTTCTTTTTAGTTGTACATGACACAATATCTTTATTTATTTATTTGTTTGTTTATTTATGTTATACTAAGGATTGAACCCAGTGCCTCACATATTCTAGGCAAGTGCTCTACCACTGAGCCACAACCCCAGTCCACTTTTTCTATTCCTATGAAGAGTGTCGTTGGGATTTTAATATAAATTGCATTAAATCTGTATAACGCTTTTGGTAGTATGGCGATTTTGACAATATTAATTCTGCCTATCTAGGAGCATGGGAGGTCTTTCCATCTTCTAAGGTCTTCTTCAATTTCTTTCTTTAGTGTTCTGTAATTTTCATTGTAGAGGT